GAGTCAAACATCTAAGTTCCGGATAAGAAAAGACTAGTACACGAGAAAAATATTTATTTATTCGTCACAAAAGTATACAACGTAGTCAATGATCAATACATAATAGAAGTGTTTCTTACTTACCTATGAAGAACTAAGAAAATAATGAAAAAAAAACCAACAATTGTATTTATATACCTTGGAAACAGTGGAAAATTATCCCACCAACTAGATGATACTATGGTTGAAAATTCCCACCCCATAGCGATGAATATACAAACACAGAAAGAGAGGAGAATAATTTGTTATTCCGATGACACATGGGAAAATACGTTTTTTTTATTGATTGAATATCATCTACGTATAGGATATCACATCGGGAAAATTAAATATAAAATAACCTCAATGATACTATATTTTCAAGTAATATTGAGAAAATAAGCTAAAATCTGTTTTTCAATCAGTTTCGTGTATTGATCAATTGAAAATATATTCTATGAATCTAATGATAAATCAATATTGAATCATATTCGATAATAAATATCTTACAATGGAAGGATTTGTACTGATGGTCTAAGAGGCTGGCCATGTTCGGATCAAATGATTATCCTCATCGAGAAACTAATGAATTTAAAATATGACGCGTCCATAGCGAGTATAAGCTGAGATATTGGATTTTTCAGTGAATTTTCTCTATAGGACTGTACATTCTCAGCAAAATCATATTCTCGAATTTCGATCTGAAAATTTGTGTGTATGAAGGCCTCAATGAGACTAGTTTACAAAAAATATTTCAGAAGTTCTGAATGAACTCTCCGAGATATTAATTTTCCAAAATATGAGTGCTTGTCTCTAGAATTTGCGTACTTTTGAAAATTCATATATCAGAGACAGTTCGTCTAAAACTTGTGAATTTTTTTTCTGTAAGCCAGTCTCATTGAGGCCTTCATACGTACAAAGTCTCAGATTGAAATTCGAAAATATGATTTTTCTGAGAAAGTACAGTCCTACAGAGAAAATTCACTGAAAAATCCAATATCTCAGCTCGTGCTCACTATGAGCACATCATATTTTAAGTTTATAAGTTTCTGGATGAGATTGATCATTAGTGTTCTGCAAAGCGGCTGGATACCCGGGACCCGATCCGGTAATTAGTGACATCCCAAAAATTTTAAAATATTCTTCTTTCTGTTTGCTTTGAGTGTCATTTATCATAGAGACAAAGAAAGTTGAAACCGATTCGATCATTATTAAGCGACTTATTATGTGTTAGAATAAGTTACGTAACTATAAAATGATATTATTTTAATTGTTTTTATATTCAAGATAATAATAACTGCATTTTAACCGATTTTGAAATTATCTATTTTCAACATGACTACTCCTAAAAGAGAAGACGAAAAAGAAAACATTAAAAAAAATAGAACAAGGTGTTTTTCAAAGATGTTCATAACCAATATCAGAAGTAGCCTCTTAGTGGAGCACTTTTATTCGAATAAAAGATGATGAAGAAAATATAATACCATATGTACAATGTATTAAATGTTTATCTATTTTATCGTATGATTCAAATAAAACTGGATCCAGTACTCATAAATAGCACGCTCAAACATGTCTTGGTGGTGGTGTTCCTAGTACAAGCAGAAATCAAGATATTAGTGCTGTGTTTAGTAGAGATAGTCACATTTTAAATGATGCGAAAAGTGCATTTTCTGAAGCATGTGCTAAGTATTGTGCATATGATTTGCATCCTTTCGAATCGATTAATGGTCGTGGTTTTGAAATCTTGTGTCAATCATTATTAGATCTCGCGCGTCAAAGTCCTCATCCAATTGCAGCAACTGACATTATTCCTGATCCAACAACAGTATCATGACGAGTGAAAAAATTAGCTGAAGGCATTTCAAATTAGTAATCTAATGCTTTTAATACTTTTAGTTATTTAAAAAGTCATTTAGCATTAATTGACACATTATCAAGTGCTCTTGAAAAAATTAAAATGTTTGGTATTACAACTGAGTTTTTGGAAAAATAAATTTTCTTCTGATAGTTATTTGACAGTAAACCCACATTATAATAAAGACTATTTTATGAAAAATTTGATGTTAAAAACTGTTTTAATTAATGAAACGAAAACCGATAGTAAATTCATAAGTTCATGCACAATTTTCATCCTATCTTTTTATTTCTGATTGTAGAAAATACAAAAAAGATTTTGTGGAACATATTGAAATCAGGGTGTGGGTGTGGGTTTTCTCCATCACAACATAGTCACATCCACACTCACCCACACCCACACCAAATCTCTTCTAGTGGACTATCCAAACCTAGCTCTAAATTACAGCAATATCGATCAATTATGTCAATCAATGGGCAATTACGAGATGGCAATATCATATATTGAGAAAGCTATTGAAATTCAGCGAAAATCTCTTCCAGAAAATCATCCAAATCAAGCTACAAGCTATAACAATATCGATGTAGTGTATGAATCGATGGATGATTACAAGATGGAACTAACATATTTTGAGCAAGCGCTTGAAATTCGTAAAAAATCTCTTCCATCAGATCATCCAGATATAGCCACATCTTACAATAACATTATTGTTGTGCATCATTTGACAGGTAATCACAAGATGGCACTGTTATACTATGAGAAAGCCCTTAAAATTTGGCAAAAATCTTTTCCACCAGGTCATCTAAATCTGGCTACAGTTTATAAGGGCATAGCTCTTGCGCATTATTATATGGGTGACACTGATGGCACCGTCATACCACAAAAGAGCAGTTGATATTATGCAGAGATCGCTTGCAAACAATGATCCATTACTGGTTGTGGCGCATAGAAACATGTCGGCGATGTTAGAGAGGCTCTGACGATACAATGAAGCTGTCAGTTATACTATACAGGCTGTTGAAATAGCTCATTCTTCTTTGGGATATGATCACACAACAAGGAAAGCCTATGACAATCATCTTCTCAAACTCCAACGATGGTCATTATTAGTATGATGATCCAGTCTTAATAACCAATAAATAAACTGACTTTTACGTGCATGTTTTATTAAACTAAAGCAGCCGATCAAAACATCTATGTAACTTGAGATTTTAATTGCGATCTAGGTTTTCTGAAGTTTGGATCATGAACTACACGAAATACCTTTAGTACATGTTAGTTCGTTTGTTTTCTTTCAGTTGCACTGGTCTTTGAATTTGCTTACTATGGATGTTTATTCCTACTCGCATTATATGTTTTATTTCATTTCTAACGCGAGAATATTCCCAACCGTTAATCGCCGATTGAAGTGATATTTTGCTCGGAAGTAGGACTCAGTGAGACTAGGAAAAGACTAAAAGGATTCGTGCCCATAGGCCTTTCTTCTTAAATTAGGACCATTTTACAGGCTTTCCAGCTTATGGCACGCTATTCATAAAAAAGTCAAAAAGAAGAAATTGTCACCTGAAGTTTTGCCCACAAGTAGGTCATATGATCTTTAGAACATCCTGAAAGTTTCAGTTAAAACAAATGGTTTCTTCTTAAGATGTTGAATATTCAAAAACACGATCATATGTGACAAAAAAAGGACATAAAAACGACTTTTCTTTAGTATTCAATATCTCAAGAAGGGACTATCCGTTTTGACTGAAACTTTCAGGATGCCCTAAAGATCCTATGATCTACTTATGGGTAAAACTAGGGTGTGAATGGGGATGGGTGGTGGTCAGGGTTGCCATCTCTGCCGCTTTTTCACCTTTTTTCTACTATTTTTCTGCTGTTCCGCAATTTTCCGTTTTTTTATATGAGAAACTTGAGTTTATTTTTTTATTGAAAAAGGAAGTGTGTCAAATTACGAACTGATCTTCCCAAACAGGATAAGCCTTATTTTATTAGCCCGATAATCAGCATTGATCTCTGATTATTTTTCACAAGTTTATTTTGTATTTTATCACAGCTCAATTTTTTCCCCTGGTCTCTTTCAGGGATGGACGAAAAAATGAACTTCGTGAAAAAAACTAGTTCATTATCTAGAAACCCCCAATTTTCTCTAAAAATAGAATTGTATAAGTCCGGAATCACTTTTCTACTGCCGAAACCATTTTTTCATTGACGAAAACATGAAAGTCATAGAAACAGTTTGAAATGTATATGAATCGACTCAGCCTTTTGTGCTGATTTCAAATATGACATTTTTTCAAAGTCAAATGAACTACTTTCTGCTCGAAAACCGTCAAATACTAGCCAAAAAAGAGATGAATTGGCTATGTGAGGGGAAAAAGTGCTTCACCAGACATCGAATTTCAAGTTGAAAATGGTCTCATGAGAAAGAGCATGTTTAATTGCATATCCAGTAAGAAAAACAAGCTGGTGCACTTGGAAAAACTGTAACTTCGAAAGACTCGAAAGATCATTATTTGTGCCAATATGACCCAATTAGAGCGGTATTTGGAATTTATCGATAGAAGAAAATTTTAGTGTCTAAGACATTCTTATAGATTCTGATAGAGAATGAAATTCTCTATCAAATGAGCCTATTTGCGACTGGGTTAGTTCAGACTTTGGCGGACTTTCAGGACAAAAACTGTTTTTTACGGCTTCCAGAAAGCACTTCAGATCTTTCTTATTATACGAGTATTTTTGAAAAATAATATGATATTTGTAATCAGCACATATAACGCTATCGAACTAGAAAGACGTCTGATGGGACGGCGAAAAAATATTTTCTCTCGAAACCAGATGGGAGCGCGAGGGGGCCAAAGAATTGAGTTGTGATAAAATACAAAATAAACTTGTGAAAAATAATCAGGGTTCAATGCTGATTATCGGGCTAATAAAATAAGGCGTATCCTGTTTGG